GGACCCGCCCCGGCACATGGGGGGGGGGGGAATTCTGGGAGTTGAAGTCCACACATCTTCAAGTCGCCAAGGTTGAGGAACCCTGCATGAAGGTATACATTTAGGACATCAATACTGCTCTAAGTAGTTGCACAATCAGAATACAAAATCTGCATGCAGATGGAGCATTTCACATGGTGAACATTTTGATATGTTAAGGGAATGGGTGTATTATCCATGGTCAAACTTGACATGACATCTGTTTTGCCCAAGATGGCTGAGTCACAAAGAAAATGTTGCAGTTAATGTCATCTGGGGAAAATTTTGAAAGAAGATAATCTGAATCCTGTAACTGAGGATAAGCAAATAAAACTGTTGATTGTATGTAATGGTCCAATTTCTCTTTTGCCATGTCCTGATTTCTGATTTTTTATCCTACTATGTTTCATTAGAAGTGAACCACTATAAATTGGATCTGAAACAAAAATTTACAAGTATTCAAAACGTATGCCCAACTCTCCAGAATAACTAATTCAAATACTGAATTTCATATCTTAAGCTTAAAATAAAACCTTTCAGTTTCTGATGTGATATTTTCATTCAAAACTTTCTGGAATCTCTCAAATGTTTGCATTTTAAAAAGCATTGAAAATAATCAACTGTAATATTATATTCAAACTGTTAGATAATATTTCTTGCTGTCAAATGTAATTTTATGTTACATATGTTTGTGCATTTGTGTGCGTGTGTGCATAACACACACACATGTAAAATCTACAGTGGATATTTGACCATTTTTTTTAATGGTTTAGGTGTACCTACAGAAAATGTAAGAACAACATTCAAAGAAACAGTTGGGGAAATTAATTTCCTTTTCTGAAAGGAGAGTTTTGATTCTGTACTTTGACTTATTTATACATTATTATATTGTTATATAATTATGTCCCATATTTCACTTGAATTTTACCACTCAACGCAGTTAACAATAATATGTGACCTAAAAAAAGCTCCTGAAGACAGAGTGTTCTACCACCTGAGACAGATCGCTTCTGATAGGAGAAGGATATTTGTCAAAGGAGAAGTGGTCCCTCAGATAGCCGGACCCTAAGTTGTTCAGACTTTTAAATATTAATGCCAGCATCTTAGTAAGAGTTGGATGGTAATAACAGCTGGCAACTAGCACAGTTCTTTCAATACTGGCATCATAGGATCCCTGTACCTTGCACTGCCTGGCAGTCTAGCTGCCATATTTTGTATCATTTGAAATTTCTAGATACTTTTCAAGGGAAGGGATCACATAGTGTGCACTGCAATGGTAAAGACAGATATAACCAACGAGTATTATAATAATTAGGGATCAGCATTTTCAATGACCAGGTATTATTCAAATCATTGATACAGCAATAGATAGATGACAGATAGACAGACAGACAGATAGATAGATCCCAACAGATTTGGTAATTACTAATAGTTGTGGCATTATTTAATGGTCATCAATACTGCAGCAGTGAATGTCCTCATTTTTTGTGGATACAGGGAAGATACTGAAAAATGTTCCTAGCATTGATCCTTCTAGCTGTAGGCCACTTCCTCTAATGAATTGGCATCATTGGTGTATTTAAGGAAAAGAGGAATTCTGATTTTAAAAAGAACAGGAATGCATAGGAGGCAGATGGCGAACGATAGCCACCTGGAATATGTCTGGGAAGTAGACTACCATAGAGAAGAATGAAAAGAATAACCAAATAAGTTCCAGAATCAGAAGAATTATAATATCTAACTGGTCATGGATATTCTTTAAAGAGTTATATGAGACTGTCAAATAAAATGTGTTACAGGTATTTGCTCCATTACTGGGATTACCAGTTGCAAGTTCTTTCACTATCCATTTTCCATAACATTGTAACAGAAAAATTTAACCAACTGAAAATGGAATAGGAGTATTAGAAGAACAACCATTTTGGGCACTACTGATCATAAACTCAAGAATTCTTAGCAATGGAACTAGGCCTAGAATGTACATATTCTCCCATTTTTTTTGTGGAGCATCATATTACTCTTCTCTGTACCAACTTAAAAACATGCTTTTCATATAACTGTATCCACAACCAGTTATGCTATCATATCAGGCAATGTATGACCAGTGTAACAGACATGGGAAGAGGTTTCTCAGACTTTGGCCGAATTATGCCTACTCTTGAAGTTATTGACACTTCAGCTCATTGCCTCATATAAGCCATGTTAGTGGGATTTCTTAGGAAAAAAGTTCTATTTTTCTCTGTCACACTGCTTCATTTACAAGTTTGTACTGTGTCATTAATCATATCCAATGGCTGCCATCAAATTTGTCAGACTTTTGTGGGTTCTTGGGATTTTGATGAAGGTACAGCACAGCAGACTTGGGCTACAATTTTTTTTTTTTTCAGCAAAGAAATCTATTGGCTGCCATCAAATTTGTCAGACTTTTGTGGGTTCTTGGGATTTTGATGAAGGTACAGCACAGCAGACTTGGGCTACAATTTT